TATATGTTAAATACTTCTATGAAGCTATATGTGTCAGAAGTTAGAATGAGTAACATATTATCAAGTGATTATGCTTTCATGACAATGTATGTAAAAACTTAGTCCTTTTGCATAAGTTGCATCTATGGAGAGAGAACTTTGGTGTCAAAACAGTTGCTGACACAGACCTGTAACATCTCTGTTGACATGAGCTAGTGGGCTGAGAGACAAGAAAAGCAGGACCCCTTAGACTAAAAACCTATTCAAAAATGGTCAAGAGTTAAAAAGAGACTTAGGGGTGTGTCAAATAATCCTGTATAAAAATTGTAACAAACACAGATATTTTAGAAGGTGTCCAGGAGAGACTTCAGAATGCTCTGGGGTCTGCTCTGCTCTTTTTCGGCTTTATTATGGAGAATAAAGTCTATTTTCTGATATTCAAAACCTCTGGTCTGATAATTTCTAATTGATAAGACGTCGAATTTACGACAGTATAACAATGGAAGCTGAAAATGCCTGTTTGTTATTTGAAGTTTAAATTTTTAAAAAAATGTGCGAATATAAAAGCAACTTTACCTCAATTTAATTAATTCAGTGGATGTTTTCATTCTGAACATGCCAAAAGGGTTGTCAATTTGCCCAGAGTGAATTGCTGACTCTTATTTTTAATTCAAAGCATTTCCCCCCCCAAAAAATGTGTCAAAATACCACCTAAAATCATTCTGCTAGCTGAAACAGAGAAAGTTCTGGCCAAATCAGGGCTCAAAATCACCCCAAAGTGGATGAAAACATCCCCAACAGTACATAAGGGTTAGGAAACAGTCTGAATGTGTGAATGTAAAACCAACTTTACCTCAATACAACCTTCCATAGAGATAACAGTGTTTACCAGCTTTTATTTTAAAACACAGAGTAGCAGTTAGCAATACATATAATGTATGCTGTAACCTAACAGTGTGTAATCTCTATTAGCCTTTTTAAAGCCTGCTTCACTGTTTATTTATTTATTGAACGCTTCCGTCAGAGAGCGCGAGTGTATAACCGACTTCAGCTAAACGCGAATGAGCCCGAGCGCACATGCTTTCTGACAGCAGCCGTTAAAACACTCATTAAATCAGCCAGAAAACCCGCTCATCAGGCCCCCAAACACCGCAGATATCAGGAAAATCAAGCCCACCTGACAGGTGTCACGAACGGCTCACTTTAAACCCTTAAATTCTCCAGAAACTGCAGTTTTTCCGCGAGTGTTAGTTTGCCATTGATCCTGAGACACGAAAAAGAGCGAAGCCTGCAGAAAGCGGTGTACACGACGGGGATGTTGCATCATCGCGGAATCTATCGATCACACTTCAAAATAAAAGTCACTTTTACACATAAAAATGGGACATTCTACCAGAAACGCATAGATATATACATATAGATGTATATATCTATGCCAGAAACGTACATTATCTGTCATTGAAATGAAAACATAAATAGGGTATACGCAGAAGGACTTTTAATTTATCAGTCAATCGGCGCGTTTAAGGTCTGTTTTCTGTAAAAAAAAAAAAAAAAAAAAAAAGGTTTTCTGTAAAAATCTTTACCGCCTAAATGGTATACGCTATAAAGTGGGTATTAGAATGTACAAGAAGTACTGCATTAAATTACATTTTCCCCGCCATGTCTTTAAAATAGGAACATTTATTTTCTCCAGGTATATTCAATGGAGCTTCTGCGCTAGCCTGCTGATTCTGACAGGCGCGTGCGAGTAATCAGCTTTTCATATCCGTTTTTGGTTCAACAACTAACTGAATGATGAAGTATATTTAACTGATAATATTTTGATTACATTACCGATTACTGTATTGAATTGAAAAGGTCACATTAACCATTCACAGGAAGTATATCGGTATGGGAAGACACTGAAAAAACTCTAGCTCCGCATATGCCCTACAGTGAATAAAAAGTATTTCATCCCAGAAATGTCTAAAATGGACTGATGGTTGATGTCTGCGAGTTATTCTGTAAAGGAATATGTCATTCATTTGTTTCTCTGATTTTTTTCTTTATTAAAAACACTTTGCACTGTACAAAACTTGTCCT